CATATTGATTATTGTGGTTATTCCGTATTACCAATGGCTATTGATCAAGATATTGTATCTGTCTTTGCTATAAATGATAACAATGAAGTACAAATTAATAATACCGATGAAGTATTTAAGTAATATACTTCAAATAAATTATTTCAAAACAAAAATTCTTTATCTACTTTTGTTAGAACGGGTTCATTTAACATGGAAAATTTTTCTATTTCATATGAAAAGTCTGATTGGTATGAATATTTTAAATGTGGTATTCAAGGCATTCGTGATAAATTTCCTGATATCAAATTAAAAGGTATTAAAAGAGGTCTAGATGAAGAAAATTTTTTACATTAAAGACATACAGTGAGTACCAAATTTATTCAACAATGTTTATTTTCAATTTTTTTTCACTAACGTAAGCACTAGAAAGAATCGAAGTAGTGATTATTTCGAACAGGAATATAAGGAAATAAAAATTATTATCAGATTTCCAAAGATATGGATTCCAAAAAAACCGAAACTCTAGTTTTTTAACACGTAGAATGCATGAATATTATTTTGTTTAGATTACATATAACGATAGAACAAATAATTCTCTACAAAATGAAACATCTTCAAGTTTTCTGCAATGTTTTTTAACTGAAATACAGCAATTTTAGGGAAGTCCGTAAATTGATTTGTTTTCAATCTCCTATAGAAAAATCTATTTTTGACCTTTAATTAAATTAACGTATCTTAGCCAAAGAAAACGTCGCAGTGAACTCGGAGACATCTCATTTTGTAAAGATAGTTTACTCTGTCGTTCTATGTTGTCTAAATGAGATTATATTTATATATTCTAGGTGCTGAAAAAGTGGATTTTTCGTTTTCTAGAACTCTTATCTTCGAAAATCTGATCATAATTTTTATTTTCTTATATTCTTTTTAGAAACAGTTTCCTCTACTCGAATTACTATTTGGATTCTTTCTAACGCTTATGATAGCGGAAAAAATTGAAAATAGAGCTAGTTGAATAATTCTGATACTCATTGTAAGTCGATCTATTTTGAAAATTGAATTTCGATAAAATTTTTCCATAGGTATGAAAGTATTGATTGATGGAACAATTCCACGTAGTGCTGGTCTTTCATCCTCGTCAGCACTTGTTGTTTGTGCTGCTTTGACAACAGTTATTGGTAATAGAATTAATATTAGCAAGGTTTATTATTTTAATGATTTTGTGTTTGTCCTTCTAATTTTATTTAATATTTTTAGACTGATCTAGCAGAACTCTGCGCTGAATGTGAAAAATATAT